AAAAAAAAAAAAAAAAAAACATTTACACTGTTTCAAGTTATTGCGTTTATTTTGAAATGTTGACTAGTTCGTGATTGTTATAGTTGTTTTTTGTTTTTTTTCTTTTTTTTTATGGGAAAAGGAGGATGTTAAGGGATGCTCCCTCTTATTGATACTTGTTATATAATAAACGCTCCCAGAGCACTTCCGGTTCAGTTATATCCACGTGTTTGACTTATTCCATTAACAACATCTGTCTAAAACTTTTCTGACCCAAGTAAAGTAGTAAAGAGTAAAGGATATATATCTGGGTCTTTCTTTCCCAGTTTCCCTGCCTCCTCCTCCTCTAGCTGTCCTTTCATCTCCAACAGGTGCTTGATTTTCTGCTCAAAGTTGTTCACCCACTCACTGACTGGAAAAAGCAGTTGACACTCAGTGAATCAAATGCATTGAAAATGATTGGCAGGTAAATCAACTTAGATAATATTAACAGTGAATAAATCACCTGCAATGAAGATCAGCATACAGTAAATGGACTGCAAATTGATAAGCAGTTGACTGACAAAATAGTTGAAGAATGGCTTGTCTTGCACTCAGTGACATCTATTTTGCTGCTCCTTATTGTAAATGATAACAGTGACCATTCTCCCTTTCACAACGATTTCACAATGCAACTTTAGTCCAAAATGCATTAAGCAGAGAGCTGGATGAATAAAAACAAAATTAATAAAAAAAAAGTTTGGATCAAGAGTCTGCTGCATTGCACTTACTATTTTAGAGACCAAGCACACATTAGATAAAAGAAATTAAATGTGCAAGATTAAATAAGATATCCATCTCTACTTACTGTCAGACTGAGTCAGCTTATTAATGGGGATAGCTGCGCGTGCATGCATGATCCCACAACGATGTGGCATCTCATCTTCCTGAGGATATTCTGCACCGCTGTAGTAGTCAACAGAGAACACAATACGCAGGTAGAGTATCATCTTGTCCAGTACCTAAAGTATGCAGTTAAAGGATCAGGAAAGAAAAAAAAAATAGAAAAAAACTATTTTTTTTAATTTTGTTTACAAAATTTTGTTTGCAATAAGTCACTTTATCATTTCAACAGTATATTTTAGCCTAAGTTACCAAGTAAAATTATCTCAAAATGTTTATGTTGAAGATCATCTGAATATTTTTGCCATTGCAATTTAACGCTGAATAAACATGCTCAAGCTTCAGATCTAATAAACCTGCAGCAGCAGTCAACTCATTTTGCAAGGGACTTCATCAACTAACTAATAACCTGCTTTGCTGCTTCAGAAGTAAAAAAGATTTTTTTCAGCCAAGAAGGCAAAGCAACCCCCGGCAAACTGACCTTCATCACTTTTTCATCTCTCTCTGGAGTGATCTCCCCGTTCTGGCCGTCTTTCTTCTCCTCCAGTGCCTCCTCTCCCAGTAACTCCTCCTCCTCGTAACTCCCCTCCTCTACCAAGTAGTCTGTTATGTTCTTCAACACTGGGTTTTTGGATACTAACCCAAAACTCTGAAAACCATGAGACATTCTTTATAAAGAGCTTTATACAGAGTGGACTTCTGTAATAAAAAAAATCCTGAAAATATAAATGCAGCTCTGTGTGTGTGCGTGTGCGTGTGTGTGTGTGTGTGTGTGTGTGTGGGGGGGGGGGGGTACAAATACAACACCCAAGTAAAAACCTGTTGCAAAAAAGAGCTTCAGATCCCTAAAGCTGCTCTGAACATTAAGACCACAAATCTGGTATTTCTAGATAAATCCACAGTGGTCCAATTGAATGCAATGTTTTCTTGCTTTTTTTTAAAACAAGAAAGACGAGGCTTGATCTGACCTGACGGCAAATAACTGAGAATGGGGAACAGATTAGGTGAACCTTAAAAAGAAAAATACAATCTGTGAAATTCACAATTTTTCCCCATTGTTAAAGATTGAGTTATTACGATACCTCTTTCTCTTTGTCTCCCTTCTCGTCTCCGTCCTCCCAGAGCCCCCACTTCCTGTCCAGGACCTGGATGATCTTGGCGGTGTTTTTGATATCTTGTCTCATTATTGCGCGATGACACGTGATGCCGTTGATTGGGCGGATACGCTGCTTAATGTCGCGATTCACTATAGCACCCATTTCACAGTCACGGAGCTGTAAGAAAAAACAATTCGACTTGGTCTGAACTTCATCAAGATATTTAATAAGATGACACTTTTATCTAAACAAATTTGGAAATTGTTGTAGATCTATTATTTTCAAATATATATGACATGAAGTAAAACAAAAAATGTATCCCCAACTCTGTTTCTCCCAAGAAATTACTGAAAATTTTTTTTTTTAAATGCAAAAAGGAAAAATTTGCATTTTTGTAGCCAAATTAAATCATCTTTTATGCATGGCAAAAATCTCTCAATTCCTGGCAGAGTAAAGAACTATCTTCCCCTTACCCTTATATTATTAAGATTCCAGCAGATATCCTTAATGTTGACATTGCGTTCAAATGTCACCCAGCCTCTTCTGAACCAGCGCCTCTCTGGCTGTGGGTCTTGCAGTGCCACTCTCATGAACCCTGGGTAACGCTTGCACATCTGGAAGAAGGGGATAGCATAGAGGTCACAGGTACTGCTTTTTTTTACTACTAACTCTAATAATTTGTTCACAGGTTGTGTTATAATCCCTGCGAAATGCTTGCACATGATGCATATTTGAAAGGAAAGTATGTGCAGAGCAGCTGTCTGTCTCTCTTTCTCTCTTGCTGTCACACACACACACACACACACACACACACACACACACACACACACACACACACACACACACACTGATATGTATATAACTATGATCTTGTTTATTTACTTGTAGAAATTATAAAAAGTTGAACACTCACTGCTTCAACTTCCTGCTTGGTAATTGTAGGGGCCAGATTTCTCAGGAATATTGACAGAGTTTGGTGCAGAGGTCGAGGTCTTGTGTCTGCCTCTTCTTTCTCTTCTCCTTCTTCAACTCCGGATTCTGAGACTGGGTTAAAAAATCAACAACTGTTTAAATTGCACATCATCAACAACATCATCATCATTATCATTATAGTTTATACTAACAGTCCAATCTAGCACACATTGTAAAGTGAACCACTTAGAGTGAAAAGGACCATAGCCACAGATATCAGTTATTCATAAATGCAAGGAGTCCAGAATTTTTTTTTTCAAAATTGCATAATTGTACATAAAATATAGATAATATAAAAACCCTGCCCACCCCCTTTCTCCTCTCCCTGTTTGTCCTCTTTGGTGTCCGTCCCAGGGGCCTGTTCTCCTGTACCCGGGGGTGCTGGTTCATCCTCAACTCCAGGGGGCGCTGGCTCTGACTCAGAGTCAGATCCACTCTCAGATTCTGAGCCACTTTCGTAGCTGTATTCCGTCTTGTCACGATGGCGTTTCTTTTTCTTGTCCCTCTTCTCACTCTGGAGGAAGGAAAGACTGGCGCATTGTAACAATTCTTACTTTGAAAGCATTTCTAAGATTTGTGGTATTCGTTTTTTTTTTTTTTTGTCAAAGATGCTTTATTAACGATTTAACAAACATTTTGTTTTATTTCTCAGACAAGATACTGTCATGTTGAATTTAATTGTGCCTGAAAAGGTATTCATATCATGATGCTTCATTTTGATTTGTGAAACATTATCATGGCTGTACAATAATAATGCTAAACAAGTATTTTTCCAAAATGGTTTTTCTTTATTACCTCCCCTTCTTCCTTGTCCTTCTGCTTGGAGAATTCCTCAGCCTTTTTCTGTAATTCTTCTTGTTCTGGATTTATATTTAGTTTAACAGGTTCCTGCTTTATTAAAGAAAAAATAAAAACAGTATACATCAGACCTGTATGCTACTCATAGATAATACCAAAAAAACAACTTGACATTACTAGAAATTTTGTAAAAAAATAAAAAAATTTTCCAAAGCAAAGATTTTTTTCCATCAAATATATATCAAAACATAGTACAGGGAGGAACAAAATATTTTGATCAAAAATAAAAAGCAAACTTACGTTATCTGACTTTTGGCGATCTTCCCTTCTGCTGCTATCATCAGATGCCCTGTTTTTAAAAGTTCAAGGTCATTTAAAGGTCAAGATCATACTAAGGTTACAATATAGACAACTTAGTGTATAAACAAAGATGCTTTAAAAGATAACCTTAGTTAAACAAGTTTTTAAACTAAATTCTTTTTACCTGCCCCTATACTACTTCAGCAATGCATTCAGGGAATGGTGCAGAATCCTCCTTGCCTAACCGACAAACTCAACTATACCCACCATATTTAGTGTCCAAACCCACTTGTACCCACCCTTTATCTGGTGTCTGTGACTCTGAGTTAGGTCTGCTTCTCCTTCCCTCCTCCAGTTTCTCTGCAGGCATCTCCAGTACCTTGAGGTCCTGCTCATTGCCTCCTTCCAGCAGTATTATGGCTGTAATATTGAATTGTGTTAGGTGAGACACAAGGAATTGGCTGTGAAAATTGTGATAGCTGTGATAACTGAATATACAATTGTGTATTTAATACAGTGGAAATTTCCCAAATTATAATACCGCTACCCCAGTGAAGACACAACTCACCTGCATCCAACAACTTCACCAAATTATCCGTCTTCTCGATATCCACGCTACAACTGTCCACCTTGCCCATCTCCATCAGCTGTGTAAAAACTCTCGCGCGAAACTTCAGCGCCCCCATCATCTCCTCGCGCCTCTTGTCGCACTCCTCGGGGTGGTACTTGGCCTTGAACCTTCAAAGACAACCAGAGAGAGCCACTGATGAGTTTATAAGGGTGAGGGACACTATTAAATGGTGGTCACATCTGTGTACACAGACATAGTGAACAATTTTTGGACTGGCAGAAACCACCTGTTTACCAACAATTTTTTTTAATCATGCAATACTTAAGTTAAACAATTTCTAGTAAATGCCAATTATTAATTCAAAATCCCTCTCAATCTTTTCTTTCCTTTTTCTTCAAGTCATTTCACAAACTTCTGAATATCTGTATTTTATGGAACAACATCACTTGCTTTATTTCATCACTTTAAACTTGGAGTCAAAATTGCTAAAGCAGTGAAATTTTACACACAATTCACATATTTCAACAAAAAAAAAATCGTTCTCCAGTAGTAACCATGATGCACTTATGCAGATGCACTGTCACCCATCCAAACCTTACTATCTTACCATACCTACGTCCAGTCCTCCATCGAAGCAGCGTTATAAAACTCCACGCGATTTAAATGATTTGACCTATTTATCTACCTAACACTTTGGCAGCTACTGCATTAAAAGCATGCAGAAGGATGATTGCTAGCTAGCTAAGGTATAAATAAACGCGAGTCTTGGCAATCCAACGAAGAGCTTGTCTTTGGCGAAGGTCTTTGGCGCGAAATATTTACGAAGGTATAAAATTTCTTGCCATATCTTTGTCGTGGATGAGCTGGTGGGTGAAGAAATTTGGATTAGACACTCATGGGACAAGAAGACAGCTTTTAAGACAGAAAATCAGGGTAGCATGCTTATGTACCGTATCTGAAATTTCTATCAGAATTATTTAATGATAATTTTTCAGCATCTTGTAATTGAAGAATAGAACATTTTCACCATTTTGTTATGGAATTTGCATATTGACAATTTCAGTTACTATAAAGTTACTAATGAAAAAAGACAGATGAATTTATTCAAAATTCTCAAAGATAATATCAAAATGTATTTGTGAAAAGAAAAGTATAATGGATATTAAAGGCTACCACACAAACAACTGCCATCAAGCTGTCTCACTGTACCCCTGACATCAATTTATATAAGGAATGCAAAATTACTGATAAAATTGTGAAAATTCAACAATTATTTTAGGAGCACTTTGGACATAAATATACAAGAAAAATGTATATAAATATCTATAATATCTGTGAATAATAAAAAAAATTATTGAAAAATAAATTATTTGAGAAATTGAAATAAAGGGGCACTAAGCCCCTCTCCCCCCCCCAAAAAAAAATGAAAAACATTTGAATTTTGTATAATCCTTGTTTATGCATTTCGTATTTTTTGCTTATGCAAACATAAACTAAACAAGATTTCACAACTACTACATGCAACATATAACTCCATTATAAAAAAAAGGATAAAAAAAAATCAACAACACATTATTTAAAAATTTCCCAAACTAATTCCACCTACCACTCTTCCTCTTTATGTTGAAGGAAGAAATCATTGATCTGCTGACGAGAGAAATCAATTTTATATTCGTTGTATTTTTTCACAGCATCCTGGTCACTAATGGTGTCGTCTTGCTGACCCAGAAACTGCTTGAAGGTCATCATGGGAGGCTGGGTCGGAAAGTCCGGCTCCTGACCTCTGGAAGTAGAATTATGACCATTGATCATTTATAATAATAATAATAATAATAATAATAATAATAATAATACTTCATTACAAAATGCAACCCATTTGGTTGAAGTTGTCCATGAGAGACATATATTCTTTTCAATGGACATCGTTTTCTGTTCAGTAAAATGTCTTTTTCTTACCAAAATATAATCTGAAACTATTCTAGCACCCTTAAAGCATGACTAAGGCTGTATTCCCAGAGCTTTTAGATCGATCTATCCCCGCGGGGAGTCTCACTAGATTACTGTCAGATAATCCGGCTTAAATGTCCGTCCAGCTAAGCTGTAAGGGGGTAATTAACTTTCGTGTCCGCTCAGCTGAGAGCTATTTAGCGTGAACCCCCAGGGAGTTAGGTCGATCTAACATAGATCGATCTAATCTCTGGAAATGGGGTCTAAATATTAGCCAGAGTTTCCAGACTTCATGGCCCCAGGTATGAATCCAGGCAGTAGTTACCTATGACCTGGATAATGTTGCTGTGGAGGGGGCATATCACCAGGTCCTGGACCCCAGCCATGGGGCGGCCCTGGGGGTCCTCCCCCACCCCCACCTCCTCCTCCGCCACCTCCATAAGGCATGTCATAGCCATAGGGGGCATCGTCCCTGAAAATAGACAGACATGTAATGTTTGAGGGTTCTTTAAATGAGAAAAACAAAGACATCAACTGATGACACAAGCAACAAGTGAAGGCATTGCAGACAGTTATCAGATAGACATCCAAACTTACATGAGAGTGTTATAATATCAGCTGGTTACAGAAAATTTACAAAATAATTGATATTGATATTTCATAGCCTGTTGACAAAGCCATTACTTGTTGCCTTAAACCTTGTCATCATTCTCAAAGTATAAAATACCCACCAATCTCTTCTCATCCTCTTCATGGGGGGGCTGACATCATGACGGGAAGGCGAGTATCGATCCCGTCTTCCGCGCTCATAATCCCTGTACATATCTCGACTTCTCTCACGATTTCTGCTGCTCCAACTGTCTCTGTTCCTGTGGATTGTAAAACAAGGTATGGAGATAATCAGGGATGAGACTGTCTTTTAGTAAAAGAAGTCTGAAAATCTGACGTGTTTCTTTTTTTTAAATAATGCTCATTTGAATGAAAACATCAAAGGACCAGAAAACTTGTCTTTACAGGGATGTGACATTTAGTGAAAAAGTCAAAAAATAGTGCATGGGACCCAGGGTGCCTTTTTTACCAAGGGTACTTTTGGCTCCCAAAAAGTTGGAAAAGCACTGACAGTTGAAAAATCCCCTTGATATCCCTGCAAAGGCACCCCCTAAGCCTGAGCTCATAGAAACCCTGCTCACCTAGAGTCATCCCATGGCTCTCTCCTCCTTTCCTCCCTCCTTCCTGCATAATCATCTCTTTCACGGCGAAATTTATCACGACCACGTCTTCTGTCGTATTCTTCATCACTGTCTCCCATGCTTGTACCTTCCGACTCTAAAGATCTAAAATACATAAATGTAAATCTACACCATAACATTGCTAATAAGTTTTCTTTTACATGTAAATTAGGGGACTCCGTAGAGTATACAATATAAACTAGTAAATAAATTTCTACAGACAAAGGGGTTCTTTTTACACAATCGTTTAACCCAGATTATAACTAAATAAAACTACTAAATCAATTTGTTAAACCACTGTCGTGAATTTTGGTGATTTATAATAATTCTATTTCATTTCATGTCTCTGTTTTTCTATTAAACGAGCAAAGGATAGTCTCTTTTCTTTTCTAACGTTACCGTTAATGGAAATGAGAGGAAAAATTTCCCGGCAAAAATAACCAGACTGCATTCACGACTTTTTAAGACAAGCGTTCTATAAAGACGCATGCTACAAGAACAGATCCATTTTCTTACATACCCCTTAAAATTTCTGGGCTTGGAAATTCAAAAACCAAGCTGATCAGGAGAGAAAAATATGACTGATTTATTTAAAATCACGCCGATCGGCCATATGCACGCATTCCCACAATTCCTCAAAATGACCTAGTTTCAACATCCGCTTTCTACTTTCTTAGTGTTGTCATATGTGGTGTTGTGTGGAGTTTCTGTTTTTTCAACTGTTATAAATGTTTGAAAATCAAATTAGATGGGCATTCTTCATGTTAGATCTACATATATAGGTAACACTATTAATGTTAGTGACACGGAGTGTTTCTTCACAATATAATGACACTTAAACCAATAAGACGATAGGTTTTACGGGTCCCTATTAATGTGTTAATAACTCGACCAATTTTGGCCCGATTTTCATAAATTTGGTATCGTTAAACTCTACAAACCTTTCTTGACATGGAATATAATTATTATGCCTTTAATTTGTTTTTAATGACGTTTTTAATGAGTTTGAATTTAAGGGTTTTGTTACACTTAATTATCATCCAGACACGGGAATGAGGTTTTCCTGCATCTAATTATTCAATAATGCATCTATCTTTGTGCTGATTTTAAACAATAAAAATCTAGTAAATATAGAATATAGGCGTTTATATTTCTTGTTGCAATGTATACGCATAAGGAACTCAAAGCGTTAATGGTCAATTTAACCCCTTTATATTTTGAGGTGAGATAACAAACGACGTACAGTAACTTCATCCCTAAACAAGATTTTATCACGAAAATTAACCACGAGTGTATAGGCTACAATCCCATGACGTTATATTGGTTTTTTTTTTTTTT